GTGGGACACTTTGAGCCTAGAATATTGCACCTTTTCACAATATTCTAATTTTCTGAGATTGTGGATTTGGGGTTTTCATGAGCTGTAAGCCATAATCATCACAATTATGACAAATCACGGCTTGAATTATCTTGCTTTGCATGTAATGAGTCTATCTTATATATTAGTTTCACCTTTTAAGTTGCATTACTGAAATAAATGAACTTTTGCACGATATTCTAATTTTTCGAGTTTCACCTGTATAATATATTGCTAATTCCACTGGGGAAAGTAGCAAAACACACAGCAGACTTGCACAGAATATTTTGCTGAGGCAGTGTTTTTGCACAGACCGTAGACAAGGGAAGGAAGTAGGTCATGGACTCAATTTGCCTTTTCTTCTTTGCTGTAGAAAGGAACGCCGCTCTTATGTATAGAACATGTAGGGCAGGCTTCACACTGTCAGTCAAGGATGTTTCTCAGCTTGTACCCTTACATATTAAGGGTTCTAACCCAGAATTCATTTGCAGATCCATGCTGCTTCCTTATATACAGATCATATGGCGCTGTCTCATTTTGGATAACATATTGTACATACATTGTGCAATTTTAATATATAAGGAATGATTATTTTTATCTATACATAAACCACTGGATAAATCTGAGCTTCTATATTAAAGTGAACCAGTTTATTCATTAGCTGCAGGGGCTAGGAAGATAATAAAAATCCTGATAACAGAAAATGTCTATAGCTAACAAGGCAATAATATTCTGAATTAAAATCTTTCCTGACATATTTTTCACACTTGGGTGGTTATATATTGGATAATTTTGACGATGCAACATAATGATGAAGTAATGGACAGATAAAACTTCTATTGGAAATCAATATGGCTGAATGGGCATGAGCAAATATTGTGTCCCCATGTTTACACCTCTCTAAGGAGCTCCCAAGCGCTGTCACTCTTTTGTCTCCTCTAGGTGCAATGCAGGGTTAGGTTTGAAAAACACTGATGAATAGAACATGTAGGGCAGCTTCACACTGTGTTACTAAACCCAGGACCCTGGATTCACTATATCTGGTCTCCCACAGTACACAGAACATGGAAATGCAATTAATTTAATAAATATAAAATGCTAAATATCTTTTTACATCAGCAGTATATAGCAGTCTTGTGACTTCTATCAGTGTCAAGCAGAGCACTAGTTGAAGCTTGTAGGAGGAGTTTTCATTCTCCCCTATGAGGCTGTAGGACCCCTGATCCTATGTCTGGACAGTGCTGATCACATGCACTCTCCCAAGAAAAAAAACTCTCTAGGAATACATGCCAAACTGAGCATGTGCAGCTTGCCTCCAAGCCTCTGTTCTATCAGGAGATATATTGGGGACAGTAGAAGAGTGGGAGGATCAGAGAAGAGAGGATCAAACATCCTTTTTACACACTGCAGAGGATTAACACCTTAGGTTACACAGTGAGCATAACAAACATACTTTACTGCATACACAGACTCATTTTTACTGTTGTGGGTTTTGTACCACTTTAAAAGTCCAGCATTGTACCGAATGTTTTTGGGGGCCGCCCACAGAATGGAGCTTCATGGAGAAGAGAGCGCTGAAGCACCTCTGAAACAGGGAATGAGGGTACGTAATACAGCCTGTTCCTAATAATAAGAATTTAACCCTTGCAGCCCAGAGGAGCCCTCTGCAAGGGTAGATTTTGTCTAAATCCTGGAACTGGGCTTTAAATATTATTGATGATTGCTGTGTTTGTCTACATAAATGTGCTACATTCACTTAAACTGCATGTCAAAAAATGTGAACGCCTGTAGTTTACATCTAGTTAAGATGTTACTTTTAATTTCAGTATGTCTGCATTCACCCTCTTTGCTAATGAATGACTAATTTCACCCTAGCTTGGATGTGAACTACTTTAAGTGGAACGTCACCCAAAAATAGGAAGTTCTGTTCTGTGCCCTCCACTCTCCCCTCCTTTTCTATTTTTAGTACTTCTTTTGGGAGGAGACCTGCTGGAAGTTCTCCCCCCCCCCCCCCCAACCTTCTGGGACACGCCACAGGTCCCAGCTGTGACACTGCACAGAGTCACAGATGGCTGCCCACAGTAAACCTGCTGGTGCTGTGGACCCGAAGACCAGTGAATAAGCAGTTCAGGTGAGAATGGCGCTGGACCCCTGGACCGGTAAGTGTCCTTTCATTAAAAGTCAGCAGCTTTGGTATTTGTATCTGCTGACTTTTCTTTTTTTTTCAAATAGGGCAAAGAACCACTTTAAAGTGATAATAAACCCAAAACCATAACTGAAAATATTGCAGCTTACCAATCATTAGATGTGGTGTCTGCATCAGTTTGACTTTTTTTAAGGCTTTTTCCCTCTTATTTCACCTGGGGTTCTGACCAGTAACACACATCCTCTTCTAGAGTGTTTCCACTCTGGATGAAGGACCACGGGGTCAGATTTGGACAGCAGCATTGTCAGTCTTAGGGGAGGGGAGTGTTGAATATACTAGCGTATTTAGATACACTAACAAACTGAAGCCAGCTAATATTTGAACTCCAGATAATACTTTATAAGCAATTGCAGTAAATATTTTGTTTGGGAAAAGGTGTTACATAAATAAACGCTGATCATTGTAAGCACCCCTGCTAGTGTTAAATTGTTTGTCTCATCCCTGTATAGTATTTTTCTTTTGAAAAACAACAGACTTACATAATCACCAGATCAAAATAAAGAAAGAATATACTAATGCAGCTATCACATCCAATAATTGCTAACCTGCAATATAATAAATGTTTGTAGTTGGGTTTAATACTGCTTTAAAGCTGAAGTTTATTCTGTTTTTAATTTGCTAATGAAGTTATTTTAGAACTGGGGTAGGCAACCTTTAAGAGGTGGACATCCACTTGAACAATATGAAAGAGGTCAAAGATCACTGGGGTTCTGTGTCCTTTTTTTTTTTTTTAAAGAAATTAACTAGTAGGGCCTAACTAAGTAAGTAAAAGTTAGAAAAATATAATATACACACTGTAAAAATATAAACTTGCCCTACCTTAGAAGATTCTCAGTCAAAAGAGCAGTGGACAGTGTCAATAGAATGGGGTGTGGACAGTGTCAACAGGGCTGTAGACAGAAGATGGTGTCTGTAGGGCAGTGGATGGTGTCGGTAGGGCAGTGGATGGTGTCTGTAGGGCAGTGGATGGTGTCGGTGGGCAGTCGGTGTCGGGGGCAGTGGACGGTGTCGGTAGGGCAGTGTGCGGTGTCAATAGTTAGTTCTTTTTTTTTTTATTAGTATTATTATGTTTTACATTTTTATTTCTTACAATATTATTTTTACAACTTTTTTAGGAGCCCTGCCAGGGGGGGGGCTTTGGTGAAATATCAGGGCTCTAAACAGATCCCTGATGTCTCACTTTTGAGACAGAGTAAGGGACTGAGTACAGATTCCCCAGTCCCTTTCTCTATAGCTTCAGCTGCATTGGACAGTGAATGAATGGAAAGTGTTGTGTGCTGAGCACACAGTTTACTATGCTTTAGTTATGAATGAACACAGTGAGTAACCGGTACCAACCACTCACTGTGTTCATTCAGAAAAGGAAGGGGCCAGTAAATTACATATTTACTGGCCCCTTCCCTCGCTCTCCATCCTGAAACACCAGAGAAGAACACAGGGGACCTGAGCAGCAGAAAGAACAGGGACAGGAGGGGTGGCATTTACTGATACCGACTCCAGTATTTTCCTCCTGCAGCAGCTGAAAGCCAGTGGGAGGGGGAGGAGGAGAAGAAGGCTATCTGCTGCAGGAGGAAAATAGAGGAATCATTTGCAGTAAATGCCACCCCTCCTGTCTAGATTCAGGGTGTCAGCAAAAAAGTGCTTGTCTATGCAATGTCTGCAGATAATGGCTGTTAAGCAGGTCTGACCAGAGTGAAGGTGTTCATAGCTTCCTGAAAACAGCACAGCAACCCACATCCAATTAAAAATAAGAAGGGGAGGGGGTATGGACAGTACAGCTGGGGAGCAAGGAGCTAGATGATGCTGGATGTCTTTTAGACAGGAAATGAGGTGAGCAGTGTGCATCAAAATTAGAGTAAGTACAGGAAAGGAGCCTGTAAAACTATGCAGGTACTGTAAGGCTGGAGTTCCGCTTTAACACTAACTGCACTATTATTCAATGATTGCTTGTACTGTTGCTTCTAGAGCACACTGTACATCCTTAAACATGTTTTTAAATATGGTATTTACTGTTCTAGTAATAGAAGTCTTACTAACATAACTTACCCTTGTGTTTTTGGTCATGTTCATAAAAAAAAAAAAAAAAAAAAAATCAGGCAATCTGCCAATCATCTACTGGTATGTTGAGATTCTATCTGTGCACACAATATACAGACTTACGTGACTATTTCATTTATGAAGCCTAGGGGCATTATATGTATTGAATTTAGCGCACATTTTATTACCTTACTCTCTAGCTGCATATCACGTGAGCCCAAAAATCTGGCAGTAGCATGTTAAGAATGAGCCTGCAGCATATACCAGTTACCAGATAGAGATTATACAGTCATAAAAAGCAATCTATTACCGTGCCTCTGTTACATTGTTCTCTGAGATCAATGTTTTTTCCACAAGTGACTCATCCAGGCTTATTCAGTAAGCCAGTGTAGAATTCAGTGACCAATATTAACCACTTGCCTACAGGGCACGTATACCCCCTTCCTGCCCAGGCCAGTTTTCAGCTTTCAGTGCTGTCGCACTTTGACAATTGCACGGTCATGCAACACTGCACCCATATGAAATTTGTATCATTTTTTTTGAGACAGATACAGCTTTCTTTTGGTGGTATTTAATAACCTCTGGGTTTTTTATTTTTTGCTAAACAAACCAAAAACAACTGAAAATTTTGAAAAAATAAACTTTTCTTAGTTTTTGTTACAAAATTTTTTAAATAAGCCATTTTTCTCCTTCACTGATGTGTGCTAATGAGGCTACATTGATGTGCACTGATAGGCTGCACTGATGGGCACTGGTAGGTGGCACTGATGAGGAGGCACTAGTAGGTGGCACTGATGGGCATTGAAAGGCAGCACTCATATATGGCACTGATAGGCGGCACTGACTGGCACTGATAGGTGGTACTGACTGGCACTGTTAGGCGACACCGATAGGCAGCACTGACGGGCACTGATAGGCAGCACTGATAGTCGGCACTGACTGGCACTGATAGGCAGCACTGACAGGTGGCACTGACTGGCATTGATAGGTGGCACTGACTGGCACTAATAGGTGGTACTGAAAGGCAGCTCAGATGGGCACTGATATGTGGCATTGATGTGCACTGGTAGGCACTGATTTGTGGCATTGATGGGCACTGACAGGTGGCACTGCTGGGGCTACACTGATCATCAGGGCACACTGATCATCAGTGCCCTGATGATCAGTGTACATGTCCCCTCTGAGGAATGCCGATTACCGGCTCTCCTAGATAACTGTAGATAACTGGCATTTCCCTATTTACATGCGATCAGCTGTGATTGGACACAGCTGATCACATGACCGAGCCGACATCTGCGGCTCTTTCCATTGACCGGTGATCCGCTGTGTCCCAAGGGACACAGCGCACTGCCGATCTCCACGCTGCACGCTTCCGGAGCCGCGCACGCGCGGTTAGAGTGGGCGGATGTCATATGACGTCCTCCCAGAACGAGAGATCCGCCTTGCGCCCATCATTACTTTATATAGCGGGCAGGAGGCGTTTAAATAGATTTAGCATACCACTGTCAGATCAATGAAAGTTGAATTGGGAATGCTATGAGGTTACTATGCATAGCACATTGCTCCTCCTCTTCTTGAATATGGATTTTTCCATTTTCAATGACTGCTTTTACAGCTGAACTCTGGAAACAAAAAAAACATTCGTTGAAAGTAGAACTTTGGCGTATATAGAAAAATGTCCCATGCTGGCTTTAAGACCGAGAACTGAGCAATCACATGACCGCTGATTGCTCAGTTCTTAGCATGACGTGGAGAGAAGTGATTGTCCATCACTGCTCTTCGCTCTGCTGCTCCAGCGTTCACTGGAGCACCGGGCGGGAGAGGGTGCAGGCGCAGTTAGCTTTGGCTCTCAGCCATGTGCTGAGAGCTAGAGCCAGCTGTCAGGCAACTGGGTGGATCCTGACAATATGATCAGGATCTATCTAGAGCCTGGAGCAGCTCTGTCACATCAGCCAGCAGGTCAGGTTTAATTTGAGGGTATGTACATCCAAATTGGAGGAAGGGTTTAGGAATTACAGCTCTTAAGAGTAGCCATCCCCCCGTTTTTCAAGGGACAAAAAGTAATTGGACAATTTAATATAATCATAAATAAAATGTTCATTATTAATATTTTGTTGAGAATCCTTTACTGGCAATGACTACTTGAAGTCTGGAACCCATGGACATGACCAAAGACTGGGTTTCCTCCTTTCAGATGCTTTGCCAGGTTCTAACTGCAGCTGTCTTCAGTTGTTCTTTGTTTGTGGGTCTTTCTGCCTTTAGTTTTGCCTTCAGCAAGTGAAATGCATGCTCAATTGGGTTGAGATCTGGTGATTGACTTGGCCATTGCAGAATATTCCACTTCTTTTCTTTCAAAAGCTCTTGAGTTGCTTTTGCGGTGTGTTTTGGATCATTGTCCATCTGTACTGTGAAAGTGCTGTCCAATCAACTTTTCTGCATTTGGCTGAATCTGGGCTGACAGTATATCTCTAAACTCTGCAGAATTAATCCGGCTGCTTCTGTCACATCATCAATAAACACCAATGACCCAGTGCCACTGGAAGCCATGCATGCCCATGCCATCACACTGCCTCCACCATGTTTTACAGATGACGTGTGCTTTGGATCATGAGCTGTTCCAAGCCTTCTCCACACTTTTTTCTTCCCATCATTCTGGTACAGATTAATCTTAGTTTCATCCATCCAAAGAATGCTTTTCCAGAACTGGTCTGGCTTTTTTAGATTTTTTTTTGTCAAAGTCTAATCTGGCTTTTCTAATCTTCAGGCTTATGAATGGTTTGCACCTTGTGGTGAACCCTCTGTATTTGCTCTTGTGAAATCTCTTGATTGTAAACTTTGACAATGATACGTCCACCTCCTGGAGAGTGTCCTTCACTTGTCTGGATGTTGTGAATGGGTTTTTCTTTACCATAGAGAGGATCCTGCAATCATCCACCACTGTTGTCTTCTGTGAACGTCCATGCCTTTTTATGTTGCGGAGCTCACCAGTGCGGCGTTCTTTATTCAGGATGTAACAAACTGTTGATTTGACAACTCCTAATGTTGCTGCTATCTCTCTGATGGATTTACTGAAGGGGAGATACTGTAGATTTCCCCATAGGAACACAAAGTGCATTAGCTGATTAATAATGAATCAGAATCTCTTATTCAGAATGAGTATGTGATCAGTCTGGTGAATCAAAGGGCTCATTAACACTAGTGGTTGAGGGTGGTAAAACCTTGCGGTTGAGTAACGCTTTTAGCTAACACTCCCAACCGCTACCTCCTTTAGCTGCAGAGACAGCAGCCAGGGATGTACACATGCCAGGGCAGGAATTATACCACCTTTTGTTTTTGGTAGGTGTACCACTCACCAAGCTTGACCCTCTCAAGTGAATGGGATTGCTGTGCAAGTGCCCTGCAACGTCATGAAATGCACACAGTTGCATTGTGCTAGTGGCGATACAGCATCTCCTCACCACCTGTCAAATGCTGTCTGAAGTGCACTCTGAATGTGGATCACTTTTTAGTGGCCAAAGCTAGTGTGAACAAGTCCAAAGAGCCATTTCTTCACAGACAGCAACAAAAGGTAGGAATGTGCTACAACGTTTGTTAAGATTTACTACCATGCATTTTTTATCATGCTTTAAAGCAGAAATTCGCTCTCTCAATCAGCATTGACTATTTTGGCCCGAAATGCTAATAGGTGTTTTTCAAAGTTATTTTTCAGCAAAATAAAGCATGGAGACATGGCTGGATGGGGGAGTTTGCTTTGAATATTAAAAATGAATTAAATCACGGTTTCACTGCTCAAATGCACACACTCAAATGTGGTGCTCAAATGCAACATGCACACAAAAAAAATGCAAGCCTTCTGCTAGTTAACATACTGTAAGGCAATGCATCAATGATAAAATCGAGCATTATATCATTAGAGCTCATTTATACATTGCACAAGACTGAAGGGGTCTGAAAGGTAATTTCTCCATATGCCAAACTGGATTGCCAAGGTTTGTGATAGGTTTTTCACTTATTACAAGGAGAAAAAAGATTGAAAATCCCTTCAGTGGAGGATTATTGCTTAGTGACTCTAAATCTTGATGACCAGCTACCTCTAGGCCCCCTTAGAACAGCCAGAGTAGTTGTAATTGGCTAGCTGTGTTACGATGACAATAAAGGTGACACTGCTCTGTTTCAGAAATCTAGGTCTTTTATTCCATCTCAATTTTCACTTTGAAGATAGCTCAGGATAAGCTGCCTGTAATAAACCAGATCTCTTAATCATAGGTGGTCTGATGCATTTTAGCATGGATTTGACCAAAACAGAAATATGCTTTATCTTGCCTGTTATTAACTTATTTCTCACCTATTTCCTATACAGAGCATAAGCTTTTGTTATTGTGCTATACACACAGAAGCATGAGAAAAGCAGAGGTGCCACCCTAGAATAATAGTTTATAGGGTGGAAAGCATGGCATTAAATGTCCTTTGTTAATAAGCATTGGGGCCTAATAGTAGTAGGTATGGTTCAATGGGCATGCTGAAAATATGTAAATTATTCAAAATGGGTATAGTTGTCGATGTGGTACATGTACACTTTCATCAGACAAGTTAAAATGCAGAATACTTAGCACACTTTTGTAAGCACTTTATTTCTAATATTTTATTAACACTTCCACGCAGTAATTATATACACACAGATTGGTTAGGAGATCATCAGAGCTAGTGCTGCTTTTGTTAGTAGTACTCAGCACACTGCCTGCTGCAGCATCTTCTTGGTGTGGTTAATGTGAACGTGGTACTGGGGGAATGGAATGTAATAGCACACATTTGCTATGTGAAGATAGTAATGAATGATGTAGTTTTGAGCTAAGTAAAATGACTGCTGATGATGTGACTAGTTTGATTCAGCGCAACCTTCATACAAAATAAGAAATGATACTGAAAATTCCACATTGCATACAAAACATAAATGCTACAGGGCAGTGACCATAAATACAGAAAACAAACTAATACTAAAATTCACCCCTTCCTAATAACACCACCAAGCTATTAATTCACTCTCTTATCTTTCACCTTATTTACTGCAACTGTACCCTCTTCAGTATATAAATAATACTAAAAACAACATGGTTATTGAATGTAAAGCAGGACAATTTTATGAGTCAAATGGTGGAAGCCAACTAAAAATAATGATCTGCTAGACCTAATAATTACATGCAACACAGAGCTGATTGCGAATGTGGAAATAAGGGATCACTTAGGAAACAATGATCACAAAGTAATTACATATGCCATAAAGTATAGGAAAGGGAAACATGAGAGTAGGACAAACACAACATTTCAAAAGAGCCAACTTTACTAAACTGCACACTATGATACATGATACTAATTGGGATCAAATTCTTGCAACAAAGAACACTGAGGAAAAACGGGAGTACTTTAGGGGCATATTAAACAATGGCATTTGCCAGTGTATTCCAAAGGGCAACAATATAAAAGAACAAAAGTTAAATGTAAATGCTAATGTAAAAAGGGCATATAACTGAGAAAAAAAGGTCCTTTTAAAATGAAAGTCCTAAAAGTCAACATCAGCATCCCAAAACTGCAAAGAATGCAATAAGAAATGCAAGAGTGTGTTCAGGGTAGCTAAATTAGTCTATGAGATAGACATTGTGGAGGAGAGTAAAAAAAAATCCCAAAAAGTTTTTGAAATATATTAGCAAAAAGGCGAGGTCAGAACATATTGACCCCAAAAAAGATGATCAGGGGAAGTTACAGAGAGAAGGCATATGTATTAAATACATTATTATTATTTATTTTATTATAGTGCCATCAATTTACACAGCACTTTACATAATGTATATATTGTACATTCAAATCAGTCCCTAACCCTCAAGGGGCGTACAATCTAAGGTCCCTAACTAACATTCATACATACACATACTAGGGCCAATTTAGACAGGATCCAATTAACCTACCAGCATGTCTTTGGAGGGTGAGAGGAATACGAAGTACCTGGAGGAAACCCATGCAAACTCCAGGTAGGTGGTTGGGACTTGAACTGATGACCCTAGTGCTGCCAGGCGGAAGTGCTAACCATTTAGCCAGAGTGCTGCCCCATTTTTTTCTTCAGTTTACATAAATTAAATGAGGGATATCATAGACAAGGCAGTAACCTTAATCAGATTATATTTGTGGCTGACAGAAACCAGTGTTCAAAAAAGACTTGAAAAACTTAATGTGAATAAATAACCAGGACCAGATGGCTTACATCCGAGAGTTTTCAAGGAACTTAGCCATGTTACAGTCAGACCAATATTCCAAATTTTTAAGGACAACTTACTGACTGGAATCGTACTGATTGGTAAAAAGCAAACTTGATACCAATATTCAGAAAAGGACTGACATACTTTACAGTATATATCTGGAAA